GTCTGTGGGTGTGGAAGATGGGGGTGCCAGAGGCCAAAAATCAATACAGCTTCATTTCTTAGAGTTCCAATGCACTGCAATGCTTGGTAGAGCCATTGACATATTTAAGTAACCAAAAAAATTTGTGAAAAAAAATTATATCTTGCTTTTGGGTAAATACAGCTCTCAAGAAACACATTTCCTACTTGTTGGGACTTTGTCTACGAGGATAATAGAGTGACATTCTGGAATCTTGCTGCTTTATAGGTTCAGTGCTATATCACCTGATGCTACAGTATGTGGCCAGTCCAGAGCAGCTAGAAGAGAATCGATATCCCTGTCCAGATCCAGAGACAAGTGGTCGGGCAATCTGGAAGGATGCAGAGAAGCAGACAACTCAGGGAGATCCCACAATGAGGACATGCATTCGTTGTGGCAGGAACTACCGTGTTGATGTTGATGGGTTCCAGATCAAGAATGAGAATTGCAGTTATCACTGGGGAAGATCATACAATCTACGATGTGAGCTCTGTTTCAGCTTTGAGGTCAATATTCTAGGGTTTCTATGGAAGGGATTAAGCCTGCTAGAAGACATCTGTTGAATCTACTGATGGGCAAATGCTTTTTTTACTTTGAGATGAAACTTGCCTTACATTTCAGGCACATAGAGGAACACACTCTGTGTAGATACAAATCATATTGCATGTAAAGTTAAGTCAGCAGTACTCAAACATTTTGAGCCAGGGCCTCATATGGATGTGACCAAACTTGTGTGGGCTGCACTTGAAAAAAAAAAGTCTACTGGTACAAATAAAAAAATCCAGTCAGGGTTATAATGTTCATTGCGGGTTTCTTTTCACTGCAAAGTACATTTAGTCTTTGCTGACCACATGTGAGGCCTTTGTGAGCCACGTGCAGCCAGTGGGCCTCAGTTTGAGTACTGTTGGGTTAAGTGAAAATAAATGTATACCTCTTGTCAAAAAAAGCACAACCAAGAAGGAGTTGGGTGATCTTGAAATTTGGTACACAGACTTGTACTTGTGTACCATGAAATCAGTTTGAGTTTTAATGGTGTGGGATGAATACTCACAGAGAATACTTGCCAAATACTCCAATTTCAATAAGGGCTATGGAGTCTTACTAATCACTTGAAAAGGTCACCTATGAAGATTTTATTGCTGAAATGTGGTAGGAAAATTTATTAAGATGTCCAACTGCAAGGCAGTGCTAAAGTGGAATCTTGAAAGGCAAGTTCTAAGAGCATTTGATGTAGGGTGCTTGAAATGCTTAGCCTGATCAGCCTGATGCATGCATCAATCCGATACATGGAGCTGATGCATGCATCCCAAGCAGCCTATATAGATCAAACATTCTAGCAACTTATTTAAATTGCCTTAAGACAGGGGTCAGGAACCTTTTTGACCATGTGAGCCATATAAAGATTGAGCTAAGTGCTCGTGAGCCAAAGATTTTCAAAACAACTGACTTTTTCCAGAAGTTGGCAATAGGCATGTGCATTCTTTGATACATGAGAAAAATTAGAAGCAATCATTATTTCTAGCCATGACCCATGAGCCAAACTTTTCCGCCCGTGAGCCAAATTTGGCTCATGAGCAATAGGTTCCCAACCCCTGCCTTAAGAGGTTTAATCTTGGCACTCCCAAGACAGACTGCCACACAGACTCTCAATAATGGTCCTTTAGAGAAGTTTGCTTGATGGGGAAACTGGCATCTTCAGTGGTGCCCTCCTCTTCCCCCATTCCTCTGGCGTTTACAAAGTATTCTCTGAATTGTTTTATCCCATGACCTTGAGACTGTGTGATTTTGCTAGACATCTTCAGAAGTTTTTCAGCCACATCCTTGTAGGTGACCTTCCAAGCAATTAGTATGACCCCATAACCCTTATTGACTGATTTTGGAGTGTTTCACTAGTTTTCTCCATGATTATTAATCCCACACCCTTGAAATTGATTTCATGGTACACTAATGCAAACTTGCATACCAAAATTCATCAAGATAGCTCAGTTCCTTTGGTTTTGCTTTTTTTTTGTTGATGAGTATATATTAGACTTGTGCAGATGGCAACCTGGATCAATCCAGTGTTGGTCCATGAGTTCAGGGAGGGGATATCACACCTATCTCAATTCACCTACTATCCATATGCTGACTAAATCTGAATTCTCTGTTCTCATTCTCCTTTCTTATGCCATGTTATCTACAGTCATTTAGCCTATATCATCTTTGATGGCAGGCTCATTCTGGATTGGATTTTGCCCAGTTTGTAACCAATGCACCAATGAAAAGTGATGAATCTGTTTTCTAGTAGGTCTAGGTATTCATTCTGGTAGAGCATTAACTATATCTGGCATTATTTAACTTTGTCCTGAATATTTTAGTTGCTGGAGGCCGAAATGAGAAGACTTATGTGTGCTGTAAGGGAGATCTGAATACAGATGGGTGCTGCTTAGCTTCAGTGCATGTATCAGAACCATATGACCCCTCAATCCAACTGGGCTATGTCACGACCTATGAAGCTGAGAACCCTAATGATGATTGTGGTGTTTTTGCCCTGGACTGTGAGATGTGCTACACAACACAAGGAAATGAGCTCACCCGTGTCACTGTCATTGGGTCACACCTGGAAACTGTCTATGAGACCCTTGTCAAACCTGAAAAACCCATTCTTGACTATAATACCAGGTAAATATTCCAGGCTTTGACCTGAAAACCAAACAAGTGTATGACTTGACATGCCATACTGATACCTGTAGTTTTCTTGTCACCATGACATAATAGTTTGTGAGAGGATTTTGGAACCAAAGGACAGTAATTATTGTTTATAGAATGAATGTAGTTGTGGCATGTGGACCAAGGAATTGAACTTGAGAGAAAATTATATCGATTTTTAAATAGATCTGATTCTGGATATGCTAAGAAAAGTTCAGTTGAACTGATTTTTCTCATTCTGTGCATGGAAAACTGTAAATGGTGTTACACTATGGAATAGATACAACTGGATGTCTTCTGATCTGTCTTAGGTTCAGTGGGATCCAAGAAGAAGACATGAAGCACGTGACAACACGCCTGCAGGATGTCCAGGCTCATCTCCTTTCTCTTTTCTCAGACAAGACCATTCTTATTGGCCATAGTCTAGATAGTGACCTCCGAGCACTCAAGGTAAGTTTTTCTTTATTCTGACAAAAGTTGTATGTGCAAATTCCAATCTAATATTTTATGGATTTCACAGCTGATCCACAGGACTGTTGTGGACACAAGTATTCTCTTTCCTCATAGGCGTGGCCCTCCTTTTAAGAGGGCACTCAGAACCATCTGTGCTGAGTACTTGAAGAAAATAATTCAGAATGAGAGTGGGTGTGGCTTACATTTCTCTTTATCTTTTTAATGAAAAACATTTTTTCATTCAGTCTGATATATCTTGCTTTAGTTGGTGGCCATGATAGCGCTGAGGATGCCAGGGCATGCATGGAGCTGATGTTGATGAAGGTGAAGGAAGACTGCAAACGGCTCAGCCGATGATCCTTTGGGAAATGGAGATTAGAAATTCATTCAGATGTGAATCATTTCCATCCCACCAAAAAAAAAAAAGGGTTCTATTGGGTGAAGCTGTAAGGAACTCTGTATGTACTCACCCATAATCAAAGCATAGAAGGAAAAGGAACTGTCTCTCCGTTGTGATCTGGATCTGACAAAAGCAGTGAAACTTTTTTTTTTCTTCACTGTAAGTGATCTCTGAGAAGCAGAGATTGATCAACAACCAAAGGGAGTGAGCATGGCAACTTGTAGAGCATAGCAATGCAAGTTTGTTCATCTCACAGATAGTATTCACATTGAATTATTCTTGTATTGTCCTGATAATGCAGAATTTTTGTTGACTCAGGATATTAGAATTTGAGGCATTGATGTACTGATATCAAGTCTTGTGATCACACCCCTAAGGAGGGCATGTGGGGGAAAATATTATATGAATTTCTAAGAAATTCTTGGTTAATAAATCTCTCTGTGCCTGTAGTTCTTTTGTTGCTGAACATTGATCTCAAGGACTATGGAGCCAGTTCCAGGAATAGCATATCTTCAGTGGATTTTATCCACCCAGAGGAGGTGCCTTGCTGCATTTTTTCTATATGGTTTGTGATACACTCATTATAAGGCCTATACTGTTAAAGGTGAGGGAGTTCTCAATAAAAATCTGTTGAATTTATTGGGAACTGTAGTAAGGAGTCTCTTCAGCAGTAAACACTAAGTCTTTCTTCTGTTATTTTTTTTAAAGCTGGTCATTCATGAGAATGATAGGCTCATCACAGCCAATCTCAGCTCTACCTATTTCTGAAGAGAAGCATTGATTCTCATCATACTAATATGTAATGCTCTGATGATGTTTGACTTTTGAAGTGATTGTGAAACACAGATGAAAATGATGGGCCTATGAAGTCAAAGCCAGGCATGATCAGAAGACACACAAGAGCAGAAAGATAAATATCAGTGTTATAATAGAAAATGTTATTGTGTGTGTGGGGCTGGGTCCTGTTTAGTCTGGGGTTTTCTTCTGCTCTCCTGCAGTCAGAGCTTCCTGCTTGTTCTCTGGTCAGTCCATCTGTGATTCCACAGTCTCAGGGCTTGTGTCATTTTTATGACCTTGTGCATGGTATTGAATGTTACAGGATGATTATGAGTTCCAATTAACAAAATGTGATGCAAAGAAGGGACGTTGGAGAATTTCTGTGCCAAAGGTGGACAACATATGTTCTGGTGGAGAATCCTCACCTGCCCCAGTTCGACTTAAAGAATGCTGTGAGTCATCTCTAAAACTATTTCAATTTTTTGGAACATTGGCAATCAAATGAGACTATCAAAACTTCATATATTCAAAAGGAAGTACATCTGAAGAGGAGTGGTAGAAAACATATCTCATTCATGTTGTAAAGATCTCACTAGAACAGTATTGGACTGTCTGGCTCTTCAATCCTGAAAATAGCAGAAAATGTTGAATTATTATTTTAACCTTTGGGGTGATTAGGTGATTGATCTTGCTATTGCTATTGCTCTGAGGACATGGCTTCACCATTTCTTTGTTCTGGAAGATGACAGATATGAAGGAAAGTGGACACATCAAGGCTCAATGCATTTTTTCTGCTATGGTGTCCCCTTGAAAGCACCCTAGTAGCATAAGGACATTGAGTCATAGTTATCCTGCCTCATTACTTCAACATGCTTTCCATATAGAATCAAAACTGCTTGTAAACACTCATGCTAGATCATTTAAAGCATAAGGTATTAAAGTGAAATAGTATCAGATATTGAACTTTCCTTTTTTTACTTTTAAGATTAATTGTATTCCTTTTTTTAACTACTTGTGTATTCAAATATATAGTATGTAGAAGAGGAGGACCAAAGAGGAGAAGCTGCTTTTTCAGTCAGCATAAATGATGCTTATTTTTTCCTATCTGTGCATGCTGTCATATACTGTACATAGCTACAACTGCAAATTTGTGATGTGACCATTCAGACTTGATGATTCCAATAGTTTGAGTAACACTGTTTTTTAATTCTAGACCCAACCTGTGATCCTGGTGAACACTTTGACTTGAGTACACTGCAATGTGAACCATGCCCAGCTGGAACATATTCACTTGGGAATGGATTGCTCTTGGACTCTTGGGATCCTTTGCCTGAAGGATTCCAGACCACATCTGAAGAGTTCTCATCTACATCATCCCTGTTTTTCAGCTATGAACGAATGAAACCTGACTGTCACAAGTGAGTCTCCTCACTTTTCATACTCATCAATTCCTCTGTCTTCTTACACTTCTAACACTGACATTGCATGATGAGCTTGCATCTGTTGATGGCTGACCATCTTGTTTGTGCTGCATGGGGTATGGATAACTTCAGGTATGGTTGGAAGGCTCAAGGGAATTACCTGGCCTCCATCTCTGGTTTCTGTGTCACATCCCTCATCTATACCGTGACCCTTGTGAGACGTGGGATACTCGAGTTCTCCTATCAATATCCTGATGATAATGTTCTCTTTGAGTTTGAGGTACCTTGTCCTCTTGCTCTCTCCATCTCTGTACAGCTTGACATTCCTGTGTCATTTAATCTTTCACAATTCTTGATGCTCTATGGCCTCTGGATATTGCATTCCATTTGGCAATAGTCTGAGCTAGTCTGCTTTTCTTCCTTGTTGCAATGGCATTTTTTTTGTGCACTATGCTAATCATGATCATCTGAGCTCAAGGTAGCATAATTATCACAGGAGAGAATGGCTGGCACACCATTCAAAATGAATGACTCAAATCAATTGACTGTATGCATTGCCTTGTGTATTAGTATAAACAAAATCTTAATTAAAAGTAATGTAGGTAATGCATGGATATAAGTGATTTTTGGATGACAAAGCTAACAAAAACCAAAAAGAGTTTTAATTGTGAAATATGTTTGCTAAGTGATTATGAACCATGTGCTTCAGTACAAGTGAATAGTCATTCCCTTTCTTTTGTATTACTTAGAAGTATTGGTAACTCATAATGCCTGCAAAACTGAGAGGAATTGAAATAATATGATCAGATGATTGAGTTTGACTTTAACTCAAAAGATTGCTGAAGAGAACTGTGAAGTGGCAGAGCTGTCAGGAGAGATCCAGTATCCATTGATGACAGAACAGGGACAATGGAAGACAGTTCAAGTGAACCTTTTCCCAGGGCCTAAGGTCTTTCAATGGCGCACTGTTGGCATGGATGACAATGTTCAGCCTGTCCTTCTCAACTTCATCAATATCACAGGTCTCTCCATTCCTTCCTGGAATGCATTTTTTGCTAGCAATCCTCCTTTCTTTGAGAAAAAAAAGGAATATGCAATCATATGGGTGACTTTGCAAATGCGTGTCAGTGAAAAGGCTCCATTTCCATATGCACACTTCCAAATTCATCAAACTTTTACTATAACTCATAAATTTGGTAAACATGGTATCTTTGAATTTGGAAACATTCTAAATCCCATAGCTGATTCATTGATCTAAAGAATAAATACATTTGTAATGGAAAAACATGCACAGAGGAGCACCAGGAATTTGTACTGGGAATTGCTGGGCCCAGTTGATAATTCCTCCTCTATCCTGTCCATGACACAACACACTATGCTCTCTTGGGGCATTCTCATAAATACTGCTTCCAGCATATCCCACATTGTTCCATCTCATTCATAAAAATGACAGTGCAGTTAAATTGAGCTTGATAGTGGGTTGAGCATTGTCAAAGCATTTTTTCCCTTATATTTGATTTTGTCATCTTCTTGGCAGGGGTCTTGGATGTCCCAAAATGTATCACTTGCCCCAAGGGAACCTACAGTCAAGCTTCTCGATCAACCAAGTGTGAATTATGCCCTAAGGACACATATGCAGGAGAAGTTGGATCAAGAAAATGTACTGCTTGTGATCTCATCAGCATGTATGCCCCTAAGGGATCTAGTCAATGCTTTGATCGCCCCTTCTGTACTCCCAGGGACTTCATTGAGTTCCATTCCCCCTGCAAAAACAATCAGGTGAGCCCCCAATGGTTGCTTATGAATTATGGCATCCTAGCTGAGGGATTGGTAAGCAAATTGCTCATCATAAAATATGAAATTTAAAATTATACTCTTGGAATTTGGAGAATGAAAGAAAATGTATGGGAAAGCAAATGATAATGGAATATTAATAGGTTTGAGTGAAAAAAAATTATTGCTTGAGAAAAATCAGAATACCAACAAGAACATATGGAGTCAAATGAAGAGTAGGAGATTCAAATTCTAGTCAGTATTGTCAGAACTCTTGTTAAACAAAAAGTTTTGTTACCCAAGTAGAAGGAAGGAATAAGTGATCTTGACAGTCAACAGTTGCAGTAACAATTTTGTCTTCAAGCCTCTAGTTATATATTTGATGTTCTTGGAGCAGACAGTCAAAAGCTATGAATGGATGGAGCCAAAGGTGTGCCGAGAGAATGTCTCTGAGGCTGTGAGTTTACCTCCTAAAGAAGAAGTGTCTCCCTGTCCACCCTGCAACCCTGGTATGGAATCCAGAGGGGGACAAGACTGCTCATTTTGCCCCATGAAAATGTATTCTGAGGGGAATGGGCCTTGCAAGTTGTGTCCTGCCAACACTAGCCCCAACTATGGCTATCAATTCTTTTGGTGGTCCACCATGCCTCCTCGCATGACCTCTTCCTGCATCCCTGAAAAAGGTTTTCCTCCCTCCTCTTGCTGGAAGAGTTTTTATCTTGGAGTATGTTGTATGACAGAAAGAGAACAGGGGCCACATTTATTCTTACACCATCTTTTATTCATATTTTTGCTTAAATAAGAGGCATCTCCCATACATACCTCTTACCAATTTAAGTCTTCCCACCACTCCTCTGGAGGCCCTGGATATTTTTTAAATCTTTCATCCTTGTGTAGAAAGTGTAACACAGTCATGTGCTATCTTTTTGGGGGCAAGGAATTTTGCTTTTGCTAGACCCTGAATGACTGTAGAAGGGATATGACATGGGGGTCACATACTCAAACATCTAAGTAGTCATAGATAAGTTGAAACATGGAGCATCAGAGCAGGATTCAGATGTAAGTAAGCTTGACATCTTGTATAATTACTAATCATTATATTGATGGTGATGAATCATTCAGAAGACATGCAATCAATAATTCTTGGTGATCTTCTGTACCAATTAATCTAAGTCTTAAGTATAAATGTAAAATTTTTCACTTATTTGGTATAGCGATGGATAAGGGAAGAGGATTGCTTTCTTTCAGTGAAATCAATTTCCCTAATGTATATTTAGAAAGAAATTTGCTTGGCTTGAATTATAGTGTGTGGAGAGGAGGAGAGATCCTTTCACTGGCAGCCAGCAGGAGACCATATTCGAACACCTAATGACATCAGGGAAGGTTCATATGTGATCCTGAACCTGCCCATTCCAGGATTTCGAAGAAAGGAGAGCTTTAACAAATACCAGGCCCAGAAAGTGGGATACATCTCATTCAGTTTTGAACTTCAGTGCCAGAGCCCTTGCCAACTCACATTCTTCCAGGTTATTTCTTTTCACTCCCCCTCTTTCTCCTTCCACTGAGAATATTGATTCTGACATAGCCCATCTCATTTTTCCATTTTCACAGCAATCAGATCATGCGGGGATTTCCTTCATCGGGAAGTGGCGGGAAGACTCATCACGCATTACACACTATACACACCCAGTGTACCGCAATGACAGCTACATCTTTCGCTGGGTGTTTCACCGTGTTTCATGGGGAGATACCTCAGTAGATGCTACTAATGGATGGAAGAGATTTGCTGAACCACCACAGCACTGGGGATCTGTCATTGCACGCATCTATACAATTAATGTGACTAATACCATTGATGGAGGAGCATCGAACTGCCTTCCATGCCCTGCTGTGAGTGTTCTTCCTAAATATCACCATTTGATGTTGAAACTCCTTGCTAGACATAATGTGAAATATCTGTATGCGAATGGTGAAGTTAGGATAAGATATTAAAAAGTCAGCTGTCATCTATCTGAAACCATTTTCATTTGGGTGACAACTAATCCAACCCCTACCAGAGCTATGTAAAATGAGGGAACTCCAAGCCTACTGCTAGGTGGTCTATAGTGGATGACATTTTACATTGTGTGACAGTGCTAGCACAGTAACAAGCATGTCTTTGAGGGACTTAACTTTGCAAACCAGTGATGCAACCAGTCCTAAAGTTTGGGGGGGTTCGAAGTTGTCATGTCTTTCAAATGTCTCCGAATGCAAGGTATTATCAAATTATCAGGAGAGATATACTCAACAAAAACGCGAAACGGCGCGAATACGCGAACAAAGAAAATGAAACGAAGAAAAATGTTATGAAATGGTGGAAACGGAATTTGAACTCTAAATGATGAAAGCACATTCGATATCTGACGAAAGCTTAAAATGAACTTAATTTAGTTCATTTCAGGATTCAGCCCAAATATCACTGCGAAAATGTGCAACTGGAAATTCATTAACCTGTACGATCCACGCCTTTTATTTGAATCGTTGTCCTTCCGATTTCAGAAAAAAATTAAATAGCGTCACATGTGCAGGACGCTTCCTTGACAGGTTCACTTTACTAAAGTGAGTTGCTACATGTAACTGGCGTGATCTTCACCTTTCACCTCCTATCTTTGTGCCTTTCCAGCCTCGCTAGCGGGTCGTTTGCTCATGATATCTTTCCCCCAACCTCGGAGGAGAGGGAGTTGGAGAAGTAAAGAGATACCATCATGGACAGGGGTTTGGGGGGGGGTTCAGATCCCCCCCCCCCCCCCTTGGTTGCGCCCCTGATTGCAAACCTTGATGGATGTGATTGGCTTTTTCTGGATTTTGCAATTCGAAGAACATGATCTAGTTTCCTCCTTTGGGGGGGAAGAGGAAAATTTCCTTGGAACACATAGAAGGCCTTTCATGTTATTTCAAGCTATCACTTAGTCAACAGCACACCAGAGTTGAAGGAAGTATTTTTCTCCATTGAAGCATTTCTTCTTTCGTATAGAAAATAGCAACTTTGTGAGCTCATACAGTGAGAGATAAATCATAAGATAATTGGGAGTGTTGAGATCCAGTCGATGGCTTCCGGTGTTGCATTATGTAATTCGACAGTACCACCACGGAAGGAGTATATGAGGCAGTCATTGACAAGTTGCTCCATAGTTTGAATTTCGCCGCATTGAATTAGTCTTTCATCCGCCATTTTTGCAAAATATCTGCACATCGACCGTGTGAAGTTCTAATACGGTTGATGGCGCTCCAATGTTTGCGTCGAAGCAAGAAACCAGGAGGCTCGGATATAGGGTCCAAGATGAGGCTCTTGTTCTTAACCTCAGCGTCGTTCCATTGTGTTCGCCACTGTTCATCCGGACCGGTGTCGATGGACCGGAGTGCTTCACCTGCAGTCCAGAATGGTCTGCGGGACAAGGCGTGCGCGTGGTGGTCGGCTGATGTCGTCGTGGAGCGGAATTGATGCGTTTGAGAGTGCTTTGTTGTACTCTCGTAGTGTCGCCTCATCGCGCCTGATGGATGGCGGAGCGGTGTTGGCGAGTACAGGAAGCCAAGGCAGTGGGGTCGATTTGACAGTTCCGCTGATGGCGCGCATGGATGCGTGGAGCTGCGTGTCGACCAGGTGGGTGTGCGAGCTTCGGGCCCACACTGTTGAGCAGTCCTCGGCCGTGGAGTACACCAAAGCCAGAGTCGCTGTTCGGAGGGTTCGGGCATCGCATCCCCATCTTGTTCCAGCTAGCTTGTGGATGATGTTGACGCGGCTCTTCGTTTTGTTGCTCACCTGTTTGAAGTGCTGTTGGTAGGTGAGAGTCCGGTCCAGTGTGATCTCCAGGTAGCGAGGGTATCATGATCAACTGATCATGCTTGATCAGTTCACCACAGAAGCCGATCGCCAGCGTCTTCTTAGCATCCTTGTTCGAAAGGTGGAAGGCGCATGATACGGTCTTGGATGGGTTCAGCCAATATCGGAAATACCCATCCAAGGTTTTCAGATCAGCATTCAACTGCATTTCGGCATCCTCGATGATTGATGCCTGTGACACAATGGCCATGTCGTCGGCGTACATAAATTTACGGCTCGCCGTCGTCGATACATCGCTGATGTACAGATTGAATAGAGACGAGGCCAGGACTGAACCCTGAGGGAGACCATTCTTGAGGTGCTGTTTTTTGCTCAATTGTCCGCTGAGATGGACACGGAAGGAGCGGTCGGTGAGCACGGACTCTATGAGGCGCACCATGCGCTTACAATGAAGCAGATCGGACAACTTCAGTAGGAGTCCTTTCCGCCGCACGGTATCGTAGGCCGATGTCAGATCGACGAAGGCCGCGGCCGATTTCATTTTCTTTTGAAATCTAGCTTCAATGTGTGACGTCAGTGCTAGCACTTTATCACAGCAGCTCTTTGCAGGTCGGAATCCCGCCTGTTCAGTTGGAACCACATTCTCTAGAGCAGGTGTGATACGGGTCAGTATTGCCCGCTCTAGGAGTTTGTAAGCAGTGCAGAGGAGTGATATCGGACGATAACTCCATGGGTCGTCGGCTGGTTTGTGAGGCTTCAGAACAGCAATGACCTGAGCTTTCTTCCAGGCTTTTGGTATCTTGCCCGAGTCCAAAATATTCGTGAATAGAGCCGCCAACCAATCTCTTCCTTTGAGGCCCAGCTTTTCTAGGAAATCCGGGAGGATTTGATCTGGGCCGGCCGCTCTGCCTGATTTTGTGTCGGAGATAGCGGCATCAATCTCTGTCCTGGTGAAAGGAACAGAGATACTTGATGAAGGGCTGCATTGACCTGGATTGTCGGTGGGTTTCGTTGACATTCCTCTTTGTTTTTCGGTCCGCGGCAGCCTCCGAGTTACTTAGCAACTAGGCTGAGATGGAGTTTGCGGTTACTTGAGGAGCCCCTTGTTTTGTCGACGCAGGTTCAGCAGGTTCTACGCCTTCTAGCTTGAGTGAGTGAAGTCGGTGTTTTCAACCGTCTCCTCCTATCTTTTCCGTCTTTCGGAGTCCAGTGACTCCAGTAAGGCAGTGGCAATGTCGGGATCGTTGGTAGCCTCGTATTCCCTTAGGAGGGATTCACTTTCCTTGCTCCAACATGGAGTAAATGAGGATCGGTAGCCGCGAGGGATGTTTTTCTTTGCAGCCTTCATGAGTAGCTTCGCGAATCGATCGAAGCATCCAGGCTGCGGTGGAACATTGCCGATCGTTTTCTCGACGGCTTCGATGAACCTGGGCCAGTCAGCCCGTCTCAGATTCCAGCGTGGCTTTGGGACGCTGAATGACAGGTATCTCCAGGCCGATATGCAGCACGGTTGGCCTGTGCTGGCTATGGGGAAAACTGTCTAGGACGGTTCTCGTTGCGGGGAGAGGTAGGCTGCTGGCGTCTGTGGACACATAGCAGAGGTCGGGCGAGTAGTCGTTTCTCCATCGAGCTGAGCGGAAAGTTCATTTCTGCTTAGCGTCAAACTGGAGGTGCATATCCTGCGTCGAGGTCCATTCGCTGAGTTGGTCCCCTGCGGCATCACTCGAAGAGTAGCCCCTCTTGAAGGTGGCTGTTAAAATCTCCGAGGAAGACCGACGGGTGCTTAGACGGCGGAAGCACTGGCGAGGGCCATAGCCGATTTGGTGGCTTGTACACGTTGAATATGGTCAATTCACCTATTCGGATACCAACCGCAAAGTCCTCGTCTTTCTCGGGTAGCTGATAGGTTGAGTCCTTCAGCTCTGGCCTGATGTATGTGGCCAAGCCATGTTTCGCGTGACACCTGCACGACGTGAGGACGTATCCATGTATCTTCAATCGTGGTGAAGTTTCATCTGCGACGTGTGTTTCTGTTTGAAGCACTTATTCTGTTTAATGACTGCACCAACATTGAGGGTGAAGTTTGTAAAGCAAGGAAGCACCTGTTCTCTTGGTGAAGCAGACCCACTGAATCTATCCCTCCAGCTGAAGTAGCTCTGAAACTCTAAACCAAGGTAGCAATCGATCAAGCTTGATGTTCTGTGGATAAATGTTATGTTTTTGTTCCCTATTTGCCCTGTCCAGGTGACAGGAGGTGAATTGATGATGGCTTAGTTTCTTGGCCACTAATGTGAACAATCAGCAGTAGAATCCTGTGAGGTGTTACTGTGTTTCAGTTGCAAGGAGAGAAAAGGCACTTGAACACAATAGCTACAGACTGACTGTCTACTTGTTATGCCATTGCATTCCTTCTGAAGAATTCTGTGCTGCTGCAGATGTGTCAAGTTTTTGTTAAAATGTAATGACCTCTGAAACGTAACATTTCCTGCAAGCTTAAAATCAACTTTGCAAGACTTTCTGCCAAATTCTGTAGAAAATTTAATAAGGTGTCTTCTTGAAGAGTTTGATAGCACCAAAAATGGTTCAATTCTTGCTTGAATGCTGATATAGAAGTGATCAGTACATTTCAAGACACATACTTTACTTCTTTTAATGGTGTGTCAATTTTATTTTTCTTATAACTCACATTTTATTCATAAATTTTAAAGTATCTGCCTTGGCTAGCATTCTTTGGAGGCCCTTTTGCAAGAACATAAAAGCACAGGATATATTCAGTTATTTTTACTTTATATGTTCATTGCCTTGGCCTTATTTACGTGATGCATCTGGGAAAATTTCAGCAGTTGACTCAGATGCAAGAGAGTAGCGAGGCCATGCCCTTGCTTCCTCCCTCAGGAATGTTTGATGGCTGCATCACCTGCCCAATTGGACAGTACTATGACTGGACCAACGGGACATGTGCATCATGCCCACCTAACATGATCTTGCCTGACCCCTTTGCAATGGGACCTGATGCCTGTCAGGAGTGTGGACCTGGACTAGTGAGCCTTGATGGACAGAACTGCATTGCCACCTGCAAATTCTCCATTGAGGGTTCCTTCTATGATCTCCAGAAGCTTGCCATGTTGGTCTTGCCTTTATGTATCTCCTTTATGCATGGAATGCATTTCCCCATTTTATATTCCCAAGTCTCACCATTTTCTCTTGGAAACATTGAAGTAATTTCCATGTATAGTGTGCCAGTATATGACATAGTAATGATACATTATGTTGCCAAAAGTCAAGTCCCATCAATTGACATACCATGTATTCCCATGTATTGGAATTGCCTAACCTGTACATTTGGTATTGTGGTCCCATGGCATGAATGACAACAGAATCTGGGGGGAAGGTTACCAGTTTGTACATGAGTCTATTATCATGTTGTGACATGCACCATACTGTGAAGCAGTTCCAAAAGCATCATTTGCTTTTCTGGACTTTTGGACCAAGTGATATCCAACTACCATACCCTGTTACAGTGAGCTCCTGTTGTCCTGCCTTCATGCTATTTACCAATCTTCTAGACCAGGTAGTATCAATATATACCTGCTGTAAGGCAGTTGCATGGATGCTGAATCCCATAGTGTTGTACATGTTACACACCATGGCAGCCATCACTTGGAAGGGTGGGCTTTCACTTTTGGCAATGTAATATAGATGGTAAGGAGCAAAGCACACAGCATTCTTTTTTCTTAAAACAATTTTCATAGTTAAGGATGAAATATGTATTAAATGCATGTTTTCCCTTTGCATGTGCACTTCCAAAAGTCTTGAACTATGAGTTGGAGATCTTGCTGTTCTGACATATGAACCTATAGTGTTTCTTTCTGGAAATTATGCCTTATGAGGTAGCTATGGATTTGTCTTCCTAGGGCCATGTTGCAAGTCTGAAGTAGAAAGCCCCTTAGTCATGGCAATACAATCAATAAAAATAAAGTATTTGATATGTTTCAGCCAGAGGTTTGTACATAGTAGGAGTAATTTTGACTTAACAAGTACTACAAGCAATGAAAAGCCTCCCAGATAGAACAGATGTTGGACCAATATCAGCTCAAGCATTGAAGCATCACACTGTTTAGGTGGAAATAGCCCTTTCTTTTTCTGCCCATTATTCAGAATTCATTGCCTTGATCACAGAAAATGTTACATCATTTAGACACTCTTCACCTTCTTTGATCTAGTGTATGAGGACTGTAACCATGAAGACTCTCTTGCAGGACTTTTGACAGGGAACTCTAGATTCAAACCCTCCCACTCACACTCATTCATCTTTGTCCCTTCCATCTTTTTGATAGAAGGGTCTGTCATGCCAGCTGCTTCTCCTGATTTTTTTTAATGGTGTATGAAATAGTTATGGATTGAAATAGTCTAGGGTAAATAGTCATCCCTGGTCTGTCCCTTTGTATAGTCAAATGTCATTTTTGAATGCCATTCCTAATCCCAATTTTTGTTTTTTCTTTAAAGACCTGCTCAAGTACAAGGGGCAAAGCTGTTCACAGCCAGTGGTTCTGAGTACTACAATGTATTCAACATCAGCCTGTGTGGAACTCCTTTGGCCGAATGCACCAACAACGTCTCATGGCGCAAGACCCTCGACATTTTCCGAGACTCGGTTGAGTCATCCATTCCTCTTGCCAATGAAATTCGTGTTATATGAAATGGTTCAACGTCGTGTTCATGTTGGTTTGGGCAACAGGTGGAGTCATACGTGTGTCGATCGACCCTGGTCCCAGCTGGTGATGGGAAGGGTCATCCACCACTGGCAGCCATGGCCCTTAGCTTTGGAGACACCATACTTGGCATCACCAGATCTCCTCAACTTGATGAAGTCAAAGTTCATAAGGAATTCATCAATCCCAAGGAATATCCCAAAGATATTCACTTCTATTACACCACTGTCTCGTGGGTCCCACCACTTTTGTCTTCTCCAAACTCATTTATGTATCTCCATTCTCATCTCGCATATTGTGTTTTTGTAGGAAGTCAACAGTCTGCAAGAGAGGTCTTTATTCAACAGTGACACTACGGTGTGATCCATCTGCCTCAGACAAAGGGACTCTGCGTTTTCCCACTACCTGTCCCTATGGCACATGTGATGGGTGCACCTATCATTTCCTTTGGACATCAAGCCTTGCCTGTCCTCGCTGCAGTAAACAGGATTATCGGTAATATTTCCTATCCTTATCCAACCACAGTTGTTGCCTTTAAAGAACTTTGTCTCTGCTGTGAAGTAGCACCTTTCAGGGATTATAGCTTCTCAAATACTTGATGATTATTGATTATATACCAAGTATTTCTGCCATGTGTGGCTTGGTAAACTGGGTTATTATGTGGAAAGATTGCAAAGCATAAGTTTCTGTTGTGTGTAAAGTGGTGCTGCTGTTACAATAGTGGCTCTGTCTGGAGCTTCAGCTTCACCTATGCAAGAGCTATGTAGAACACAATCACCTTGATGAGCAAGATTGATGTCCCTTACAGTGAACAGAAAGCTGCTCCTTAGTTCCATCCTCTTCCTACGTGTTCTCTGCTTCACTGTCCGATGAAGGACTCCTTGCCCAAAATCTGAATTTGTGTAACCCTGTCCTTGCTTCCATAATATTTTGTTATTTTTGTCTTTGCATTTGTACTTTGGGTTCTTTCCTCTTGGTGAATTGTGGAGATACACAGCAAAAAATAGACTGATTTTGAGAGATACTCTTTCGTCGAAGAAACAGTTTGTTTCTTTTCCGAGCAGAGTGGTGTTGGGAGAATGTCAGGACGGCCATCAAAAGATACATTACCTCCCGCCGTCCACCTGTCTGCCACCAGAAGAAGGGATCCCCGACGGAGAGATGCCCTGTTCCACGGCCATCCCCTTCATGGTCCAACTGGTGGTGGTGGGCTCGGTGACGCTGGCCATGCTCCTGGCGCTCACCCTTGCCCTCCTCTACCGCAAGAAGCGCCGCCTCGAGTACAAGTACATGCGGCTGGTGGAGAAGAAGGGCGACGGAGCAGGGTACGGGGTGGCGGGCGGGGAGACGGGGCTAGGGTCCGCCGAGAGCTGTGCCTTGCACGAGGACGAGGACGACGACGAGGATGGGACCGACGAGCAGAGGGGCTCTCGCGTTCTCTTCTCCCGACTCGAACGCATGGTCAAGAAGGTCTGTCCCTCTCATTTGGAAGTTCTTGCCTCTTTTGAACTTGTTGCATCATGTACTAAATCTGAGGGAGGAGTCCAAGAGATGTGATCCTTCTAAAATTCTAGAAATTTGTGTATTTAAAAGACTGTTTCCAGTTTTTTGCCTTACACTAGTGTTTTGCTTCGTGATTGTTGCTTATTGAATTGCTTTTTTTTTATTCTTTAGGATTAATTGTATTCCATTTTTAAACTTCTGTATTCAAGTATATAGTATGTAGTTTTTATTCTTTTTTTTTTTTTACCTAGTTGAGTCATTTCGAGGGAAAGGTTGTTTCTGAATGAATTGCTGGATGAGTTTTAAAAATATTTTCGATGGTTTACAGGATTCTAACATTCCTGATTAATAGTTTGCACTGCACCCTGCGAGCAAATCATGATACTTGATAAGCCAGACGACGTATGAACTGTCTTGAAATTCCCTTGAAATGAACAATGGCTTATTAGATCTTATATTAAAGGCCGAACCCAACGAAGACAGTGCTAGATCCACCCATAGAGTCGTATTCCTTAGAATGAGAAAACCTCGCAATAAGCAACAAGCAAAATCTTGCTTTTCGAGCAGATTCGGGGCTATCTGAAACTGTCTTCGAAGGGTTGGGAATTAATGTTTTGGGATTTTGCAAAACTGAAAGTATTGAGCAATATTTCTTGGGAAGAGAAGTGGGTCTTGAAGCAATGATTTATTTAGAGAACAGAACGGATGAATGAGTGCAAATTAGTTATAGATGACAAGTGAATGTGCACATTTTGTGAGTATTTCGATTGGGCTTTTTTTTTTAGAGTAAATATTTTTACATGGGTTGTAGTGACTCACGATTGAGCTAATGGAGCAATGGACGAGCATGAACTAGCATATGGATGATAATGGGGGGATTGGGTGCGGAGCAGGTGATGAGCGGTCGGGATCGAACCTTTGGTGAAAGTGAGGGACCTTGTCTCCCGTCCTCCCATCCTTCATCCCCCAAGTTTGACTCCACTTCCAATCCTCTGCCTGAATGCTGGAGTGATTGAAACTCCCTCTTCCCTTGTGTTTAAACTCCTCCTTCCCCCTCTCCCGATCCCTTTCTCGGTTTTGTGCTCGGTGGGTCTGCCTCCCAGACGTGTTTTTTGGTTGCAAGGAGTCTTAATTTTGGCATGGGTTTTTCAGGTGTCTCATAGCCTTGCTCTCAATTCTTTCCAGAGCGATTCGGTGGAAGAACCCCTTCATATGAGTTCCAGACCAAGTCATTTAGTAAATGCATGAAGACTGAGACCAAAGGCGATGTCAATGTGGATGTCACCCCCTCTCATCATATCATGGACTTCCCACTTTTCGTCTGCCTTTTTGTCTCTCGTGATCTCTTTCCCCCTAGTTCAAGAGAATCTCACGAGTTATGAAATCTTAAGTGCAATCCAGATCTGTACTCTATTTTCTTTTGCTATTTGTTCGCTGAAGGAAATTATATGTTGCTGTGGTATTTATGAACGTGATGGGGTGCTTTTCAATTCTCGTCATGAACAGTCTCGTATGGTTCACCGTCTGGAAAATGGAATTTCAAGTTCCTGCTACCCCAGCAGGTAAGCACAGGTGCACTTGCAGGACTTGACTTGCTTACTTCTGCTCACAAACACCAAACATGATACAAACAGAGCAACCAATACATATTATGGGCTTTGCAAAAAAATTCCGGAAATGGGACTACATGAAATATCATCACCTTGATTTCCTAAAATAGATGTAAACTTTACAAGGATTATTTTGTTTCATAAACCCGTTTCTTTGCAGGGTTGGGCAGCTGATAGAAAGGAAATAATTCAGTTTTCGAAAATTGAAACTAAACCTCCTTAGAAAAAAGATAGCCAAAACAGAACGGAAAACTTAATCCACTTCTATCATTAATGGTATTGGCTTCTTGAGTTCTTACCCGCCGTTTTCTTGTCCACTCTGCTACATTTCAGGTTGAATGTAAGTCTCGATCTTTGTCGCTCATGGCTGGATGCGATGTTATTCACCATTCACCCACACATTCCCCTCAGTTGCCTTGCAGGATGTGGACGAAAAGAGGGTAGTTGCACATCTGAACTTGAGAAGCTCTTTTCAACCCCAAAAGGAGAATTGAATCTAGTCAATGCGCAGCGCAGTACCCATAAACTTACTGTTTAGGATAATGCACAGAATTTGAAAGTACTTGACGAATTGGCTGCCACGCATCAAAATTCGAGTGGCGTTATCACCGGTGATTCTCATGGCAGCCAATGTATTAAAGGGGGGAAAGGAAGTACCGTAACATAAAAGGCTTTGGGAACGGACCTTCAGTTCCATTATCCTACGTCCTTGGGGCAGTGTCGTCCCAAAACGCTATTTCCTTTTATCTGTTGGACAACAATTTACTCAGCCTAGAAGTACTTGATATCAGGCGTGATACCGAATTGGCATGGATTGCCCATGTTCAATTTCACTTGTCGGTTAGTTTATCTCGTTGAAGTGCTTAGTTATGATCGGGGCGAGTACGTCACTGTCTCTATTACAATGATTGTTGAGAAATAATTCGAAAATGGACTACACGCAGGAGTTCGGAGGAAGGCCAGGGGCCTTGCTCACTGTATTTTCTTATTTGCATTAAGGGAGGGAAAGGCTCGCCTCTTCGTCGGATGACGATGGCGTGAGTACCTAGAGTAGGGGGAAAGCATGCATGTGTATCTGGCGTTCCAAGCTTTCCCAAAGTTATACCAGATCGCGCGATAGTTTTATCGCGTTTCAATTTCGAAGTTATCTCACTTTTTCTTTTGTATTTGGTGCTGCTTTGTTCATTTTTCGTAAGAATTTATCTGCACTATGTGTAGTTAAATTAGAAGCAATGCCCATTGTGGACCTCATTGTGAGTAGTTAAGGAATGAACGTTAATGTAAGATAAAGATCTTGCTAGCTGGTGCGAAAAACACAAGAAATAAGTATCTGTAACCTCTTTAACGGTGGGTGGTTGGAGAGGCGTAACGGTGGGACCTTTTAGAAACCGGGCTTAAACCAGGGTCAAAGCAGTGGAACTCGGGAATATATCAGTCTTATATAAGAGCTTTCCATTTCCTGAGTAGATATTGCAGCAAAAATAAAAAATAAAGGATGCCCCGAGTGTGGGATGCGTCAGCCGGGACTCGAACTTTGGACCCCAACGGTGGGAACTAGAAATATAACCGTTGCTCTACTTTTCCACATTTTTCCGTTCCTCTTGCTAAATGTGGCTATAGCTTCAACGTGCGGATCCTAACTGCGTCCAACACTGCCTCCACTTGACACTTGCGCCTGATGCGAATTCAGCTGGGAATCTCTCCCTTACGTATACCATGTGTACTCTGACCGAATCCTGTAGTGATGACGTCCCAGAAGAGATTAATGCTTAAGCGCAAAATGGAAAATTGTCTTGTTTACCGCAAGGATACCTTATACCTGGTATGACATACATGGTGATAGTAAAATATCGGTATTCGGAGCCGTTTAGCTCGCAAACCACAAGATGTGAAAACAGTGCATTGAGGGCGCTACTTTGACTTTTCAACGTTGCATCAATGGCCTAGACGTTAGATACCGCGACATATATCTCGAGGAATTGCGAGTACTTTCAGTCGTTTCACAACCACTGATTCTCAATCCATGATTATTGGTGTCGGGGCTTCTTGAAGATTCGCTACCAAGAAAAATTATAAATGGGCAACTTCAACACCAGTTTCTTTATTTCATCCCTAGTTGTCCTCTCATCCTTGCCTCCCATTGCTATAATGTTTTGAAAACTGATTCTAACTTCCTGGCAATGCAGCTCTTCCCCCTAGCTTTGCTTACGAGATAAAATTTTCTGGCCTCTCTCCCGTCAGGCTCCTTAGCAGTAGACAACTAGAAGTACCTCTGTACACTCTACTCAACACAATTTCTAAATACAATGTCTGGGTTTATCAGAAAAGGTGCATCTGGATTTTACTAGTAGAAATTGGTCAGACTGGCATCACTGGGTATATCCATGTCTGTAGGTAATTCCTGTTTCAAGTGATCACACTTTGAAACACTACCATACAATTTTGTGATGCTGTTTCTAAATTGAAACAAAACTAAGGTAATGTCATTCAGTTTGCAATTCATGACACATTAACATTAAATGCTCAAGTGTAGTATTTAAGACAGTGTTCATCGGCTTCCATGGATGGCCCAAGTTTTGTTCATTCCTTCCAAGGGTGCAGTCATTCATTACCAAGATGAAACACCACAGAGATGTGACAAGCTCCACACTTTAATCAAATTTCTATCCTACCTCACAGAACATTTAAAAGATGTTTTCCTGAAATGTTGCTGGTACAATATGTACATTGCAGAGAAACATGGAGCATGGCCAATGACTTCATCTGGAGGTCATCTGACATGGAATTTACACAATTTTGGTCCCATTCAACAAACATTCATCGTCCCTCAACTGCAAAAAAGGAAATAAAACCTCTTCAATGCAAAAGCCATATCAAACCATTAACATTTCATTAAGAAGGAAACTCACTGTAGGAAGAGAGGTCAATCTCATCAGGCAACTCTGAGATGTTAACATCAAAGCGGTCCTGCACAGAGTTCAGGATCTTTGCTTCATTCTCGTCACTGATGAAAGTGATTGCCAGACCCTGCAAAGAGAATTGTACCCCCATGAAATGTCTAATTGTAAACATTTATTTCACTTTCAGAAGAAAATCAGCATCTTCAGTAAGAGAGAGTTCGATTTATAATCATCTGGACTCATATGTCCCTATCGTGTTTCATCATATGCAATGCAGAATCAACCATAAGTTCAAGTGTAACAAAATCAGTGAGGCTAACCTTGGTTCCAAATCGCCCGGCACGTGCCACGCGATGGAGGTAAGTGTCAGAATCCTCTGGCATGTCATAGTTGAAAACAATGTTTACCCTTTCTATGTCCATCCCTCGGCCAAACAAGTTCGTGGCAACCAGGATCCTCTGCAAACATGGGAGAAACAGCAAGAAATGAGGAAAAGCTTAAAAATTGCTGCTTCATATATGCAAAACACATTTTCTGAACTCATCCATGACATCTCACCTTCTGAAAGTCTTTGAACTGTTGGTATCTCTGAAGTCGCTCCTCCTGGGTCATACCCCGATGGATGGCAATGGCTGGGAAATTTTGCTCTACAAGAAGCTGAGATAGGGCCATGCAGCGCTGGATTGTCCGCACAAAGATAACCACCTGAAATTTCAAGCCAACAGATCTATTAAAGTCAAGTATCTTTGCTTTGACTTAGTAAAGCTGTTGGCACATGTCACCACAAACCTGATTGAACTCCAAGACATCAAGGAGTTCAAACAGCTTTTTGTTCTTCTCATTCTCTCTAAGCTTGACATAGTGTTGCTGAAGCCCATGAAGAGTCAACTTGGCCTCATCATCCACGTACACCTCCATTGGCTGTATGGAAGAGATGAACACATCTGCTGCCTACTCTTTCATTGGTCTAATTGAAGCTAGCCAGGATTGGAACCACCAGCTGAAACATTCCATTTCCCATTATCATGCTTTCTTCATTAATTTAGTAAATTTACCTGATTCTTCCAGTCACTTTTGGATAATGGCACTCAGCATTTCCATCTATAACCTCCACCATTACAGTCACCCATTCATCCCAACAAGACTGATTGGATTTCACCAATTTGCTTGAATATCCCGGAATGAGATTTTCCCTTCTACATTTACTTATTACATAGTTTCAAAGACTAAGCTTGTTACCCTGTTACCCTTCACAACTTGACTCAGGCTAAGTTGGAATGCCTACTTTTCCTGACAAACAATTTCCATGACATCCTCTAGAACAACTTCTCCTAAAAACAGGGCTATAATGATCAACAAATTTCACTTCATCTACTTGACATCTTGAAACTTGAATGTCACAAAACTCAATCTGCTCAATGACAGCACATCAATATGGGATTCCTGTTCAAATACACTCCACCCCAAATTTGAGCAATATTCTCAGGGAAGAATCTATTAAATCACAAAATGATGAGAATATCAAAAAACAGTTGGATATTTAAATGCAAGTAAGGAAATAGAAGGAATAAAACTTTTTGGCTCATATCCCCGTTGAAACTGAGAGCAGGGCCTTTAAGGTAGAAGCATTCAAGGCAGGCTCTCTTCAGAGGAGTCTGATGCAAAAGGGAATGGGGATCCAGCAGCACCACCTTTGAGACCACTTCTTCAATTCCCTCTCTGCTCTCCAAATTGCTTGCAAGCACTCAGGCCACTGATGGGCACAAGGTCCTTCACGAATCACAGATTGTGACGACTTTGGGAAGCTGGCCAAGGAGACTTTGCGACCGCATTTGGAATGGCAGGAAAAGACTTGGAGGATTCCATGGAAATAGCAAGGTATGGGTTGGGAGATTTTTCACAGCTCAGGATAAGTAAAGGGGGACTTCAGGGCATCAAAGAGAGATGAGGGGAGGACAAAGGCAGAACAGGGGTGTTGTAGCCCAATGGATTGAGATACAGTAGAGAAGGCATCTCAGGGAGGTGAGTGCTGGCTGGCTGGCTGATGCCGATGATTGGCTTTTTTTTTAGGGTGGAAAGAAAATGTAGAGGTACGAGGGGAAGGAGGGCTCAACAATTACATCTTGCATGAACTTCTTGCACACAGGTCGGATGTCCTTGCTCAGCGTGGCTGAGAACATCATCACTTGCTTGGCATGAGGAGTGCTGCGGAAGATTTCTTGCACATCTCGTCTCATATCTGCCCCATGAGAAAGCCCTTTTCATTCTCTGCAATCTGAGATAAATCAATGACTGAGATCAAGATAAGGAGGCAGACTGACCAAGTTGCTCCAGCATTTTGTCACATTCATCCAGGATAAAGTGCTTGAGATGGCGCAGAGTAAGTTTCTTGGACCTAACCAGTGCAAGCATCCGACCTGGGGTCCCCACCACAATATGAGGACAGTTGCCCTTCAGCACCTGCTCATCCTTGGAGATGTCCAGACCCCCAAAGAAAACACTCACCTGGAAGAAATAAATACTGGCTATTAGTCAAAGCAGTTAAGGACCAGAGGATCAAAAAGAAACAGAATAGATCTCACCTTGACATTAGGCATATACTTTGAAAATCGCTCATACTCCTTGGCAATCTGATAGGCAAGTTCTCTTGTGTGGCACAGGACCAAACATGAAACCTGCCCATCAATGGGATCCAACTGTTGGAGCGTGGCAAGGACAAAGACTGCTGTCTTCCCCATACCAGACTTGGCCTGGCACAGAACATCCATCCCAAGAACAGCCTGGGGGATGCACTCATGCTGAACTGCAAAATTGAAATGAAAGATCAGGCATTAAGTATCTTGAAAATAATGTCATTGGTTTGACTCAAAATTCCCTCGTCAGTCCAAATAGTAGAATACCTTCGGATGGATGTTCAAAGCCGCAGTCAACAATGGCCCTAAGGATTTCAGGCTTCAAGAGAAAATCTCTGAATCCAGAGCTGTGTATGGAAACGTAGGTCCCCTTTACATCCTTCTTCTGACCATCAGTGACTGCAGTCCCATCAACTGCTTCAGTAGTCTCATCATCTTCCTCATAGTCCAGAAGGTCATTCTCAGCATCTGCCATTTTTTGTTACTTAAGGTCAAAGGTAGATAGTGTCTTTAACAAGTTAATGAGAGTCACCTGAAGGAGAAAATAAAACTTCAAATTATGCAAGACAGGCTACACAAAAAAATTCCTATCCCAAAACTGATGCTCACAGTCCACAACTTGGGCTTTCCACTTCTCTAGCCTGACATGCTATCACAAGCAATCATAAGTAAATCCTAACATTTCACCATGTGGAGACCATTATGGTGTCCCATATAAACAACTTCTAGACAGTCCAAATCTGAGGATGAGGTACTAAAAGTGGCAAATAAACATATATGCTGGCAAACTTCTTCTGCCAATTTCTATCTGGCATTCTTCATCAACTCAGTTGGGTGATACTTGAGCTCAGTCCACATTGTCCTCATACATCAGGCATGGTAAACTTTTAACCAATAGCTCAACATGTGTAATTGAATGATTCTCCCCTAGGCTTTGACAAAATGACTGGCTGCTCTCTATCAGTTTCCAGAAGGTTGCAGCTTTAGGGACCACAAAGGCCCTTCATGACTCAATAAAATGCCCATTATGGTCTATGCTCCTCCAATAGTGCATAAATACCTTGACCAGAGGATGAATGCCAAGGCCAATTGATTTTTTTTCGGGGAAAAAAAAGGAGACATTTTCGAAAATGTCAGTCCCTGCAATGGAGGAGGAGGGGAAGGGACACAAAAATAGAAGAAAATTCAAACTGTCCCAGTAAAACCGGAGCATCTGGCCACCCCGACCAAGACTAGTTCACGCTTCAATGAATGCACTTTCTAAAATAAAGCTATTATTCAATCGTAGGAATGAGCTTAGCCTATTATCCTATAGGCATGGTCTATAGGCCTACGTCCACGTCTCATGCAGATTTGGGTCGCGCTAATTATACCTATCTAGACGGGTATCAATACTATCAGAGACCTATAGAGCAAATACAAGAAATGAAAGATGTGTTGATCTATTATGGCAAACACTAACTTGACCAGATTAGTCTATCCTACTCAATGACGTAATTTCTACGTTGAGGACAAAATTCCAGTTCCACCTTACGAGATCTTGGGACAACATGCCTTTGAATGAAAACAGATCATACGAGAAAGCGTATTTTCATGATAAGCCTTTACTAGCTGATCTAGCACCGAGAAATTCCAGTTTAAGGTTGACAGGATCTAGAAGAGCACACCAAACGCCGGAGAAAGCACTGCCAACGAAGTACGTACCTATTGCGAGTCACATACCGGATATACGCCTAGTGCTTCTACCCCGCTTCAGACAGTGGGCGCCTCGATCGATCTTGTCAGGGTTGCCATCTACTCCAGTCGCGGCTACTCTATTTAAGGCGAACAGTCAGCCTGCCATTACGTTTTATTTTTTCAGTTAAATTCCATTCTCTTTCCTGGGGATTCGGCATAACAATCATTTTCCTGAGGAATTCTCTTAATGCCTCGATGATCGTATATATTCGACGCCCATAATGCAGCCATGTAATACTTATCCCTCCTGTTATCTACGAAATATCCTCTCAGAAAGACCTTGTCCTCTAACCGTAGCCTGCATATAGATAAGCTAAGCTCAAACCAACTGATTTCAGTCAAACCCCTGTACGCATGCTTTCAAGGGCAATAAATGAAATCGATCATGGTATTTGAGGAAGGCGGCGAATGGGGGAAGCTTTGTTAGCCCTGGAAGTTTCTATCCCAAGCGATAGAAAGAGAGTTCGCTAGGGTTGCATATTCCAGATGCAATGCCCATACTGCAAACTGCTCTTAATATGGACACTGTTTTGTCCATATTTCAAGCTTACGATTTTTTAAATTAATGACGTTTAACAGCAGCTAAAACAATTTCTTTCTGTGAGTTAGGGAGACCAGACGTCCTGATTTTTTCAGGCTATGGCCCAGTTTGAATTTTCCTTTTCATTCTAGTGTCCAGACCTTTCCGCACTGCAAAGACTGACATTTGGGCATTTTCTTGAAAACTTCCCAGGGTTTCCAGAAATAAATTTGGTCACCTCGCTGTTAGTCAAAAGCACTAGGCCAAACCCTCGTAGTATTGATTGGCGTCTTGGTTTAAGGTGGCCGAGGGTATTTGCAGCATAGCCGCATACACAAGTATGCTTCGAATATATATCCATATTTGGTTAAATTCGAAGGTATGATGAAAGATAGAGAAAATATGGGCTGACTGTTGGTCTTTCCTTGATAATCCTAGGAGTCCTCCTTGAGCTCTGGATCATGCACACCCTCAAATCAAGACGAATCATTGCGCGACTTGATACATTTCAGCAAATAGCAGGCGCGTGCAGTTTAGAGAATGGTGTACAGAGCAGGGTCTCCCTCAAGGGCTCAATATAGGCCAACTAACTTGGCATTATCCTCGCTTCCGTTAGTCTTCTCTCCAGGGGCGGATCGTGCTCATCTCGGAAGCACAGAATCACTTTCCAATGAAATGAAATAAGCATTGAGATCTCTTAATATAGTTTAGAGGCACTTCGGGCTGCGCGTTCCACAGCCTGCATGAAATGCATTGAGTATGGCCGGATTAAGGGGGGGGGGGGGGGGGCAAA